GCAATAGAAATAGTAGTAAAGTCAAATAGATAGGAGTGAGCTACTTCCAGATTTGTCTGCTTACCAGATAACACTGTCTCAATTATTTAGTTTGCCGTGAAGCTAAAAAGTAATTTCAGCAACTGACTTTGGATATGGAGAGCTATGCAGAGTAGCTGCTATATTTACTTGTTACTGTCACTGTGATCTCTTAGTATATGAGATATAGGCTCTCTTCATGCCTATATCTTTTAGGGCATACACACATACACACACACACACACACACACACACACACTAATTAACTAAAATAGAACAAGTAACACTTAACAACAGGAAAAAGAATTTCAGCTCTAAGTGGAAGTTTATGAAGTATTAATTTGAAGAGGAACCTAATCACAGAGCCAGAGGGAATAATATTGAGTATACAAATGTTTACATAATATTGTGTATACAAATGCTTAGAGATACGTTTGGTGATCTAAACCAGTGACAAAAAGATTTCTTGGCTTTTTAACTCACCTTTGCCCTGCTGGGAAGGCAAGAGAAATTTCCAGTTAATAGTTCCTGGACTTTTTTGCTGGGAAAAACAAAAAATAAAAAAACAAAACCTGACTGAGTCCCTGTACCTCAAAATCTGAACTAGTCCATATTAAATTGAAAAGAGGACAAATTACACATGGATTAGAGTCTAATATCTCATCAAAAATGAACTCCAGCTTGGAACTCATTGTTCATACCCATAGCTCTTACCCTCAGCTGTTATTAATCTCACTGACTGTTTAGAAAATGTTAATGTTTTACTTCTTAGATGGCCAGCCACTTCCTGGCCTTGAAACAATGCTGAATTTGCAATCATCTTTCAAAAGTCCAAATCATACACTATGGCTCTTCATGTTCACAAAGGGACTTAGATTTTCATTCAAAGAACTTTTTCTACTAAGGATGGTGAAGGAGAGTTCTCTACAGCATGACATATGCCAAGAAATATACATATATTTTAAAATTGTTGCATTATACATAGTAGTGGGATTCACTGTGACATATTTATGCAGGGTGTCACACGCCAGTACCTCCACTTTCATTCCCCTGAACCTCTTTGGCTATTCTACTGTTTTCTATTAAGAACCATCCTTTCTCTGTTGATTTTTTTAAAAATTAAATGAGAAACGCAAGTGACCTTCTAAGTTTAAAAAGAGATAATTTCATGAATAAATAATAATCATATATATTATTTTACCTCTGACTTGAATATTGTTTGTTAAGATGATACCCACTGAAGCCACGGTGACTTCTGAGGTTTGTAAAGAGGTTTCAAAGAATCATGGGTCCTACTATTTACTTATGAATAATTCACACCAGAACTAATGTTTCTTTAAGAATTTAGATAATCTTTTTAGTTTATAAAAATATTCAATTCAATCTTAAAATTTAAAAATAATTAGTTTTATGAAAACAAAGTTTATTGTGTCCTTTAACAAAACACTCTTGTCATCACCAAGCATTTTATTACTCCTTAATCATAATTTATTTTAAAATATTTTTGCTTTCAGCTCAATGCTGTTCAAAACAAATTTTTATTGATTTTGTCTCTTTGACCTTTAGAGCTATTCAATCTAATGACTCCCTTTAAATTCGGTCTTATCAGGTAACTTGGCAGCTGAGTATGTTCACCGTGTAAACTTTATCAAGGCCTGGTGAATTCCTAGCAACAAAAATAATGCTTAAGGAGATAAGTGTTTGAAAAAGAATGTGCTGTACCTTGTATGTATGAAATCAGTGCCGTTGGGCTGGAGACGTAGTTCAGTGGTAGAGTGCTTGCCCAGCATGCATACGACCCTGAGTTTAGTCCCCAGCATCAAAGACAGTGCCATCAACATCAGGTGTAGGTCTTGAGATTTGAGAGTCCCTTCATAATCTGCAACCTTCACATCCTATGTATACACAGTGAGGAAAACACACACACACACACACACACACACATACACACTCCACAATGGGTTAAATCAAATGCCCTCTTCATTCAGATAGCTGGTGTGTACAGACTCATGGCCATGGACAGATGCTTTAAATAACCAATCCTACTGACCACTTCAAAAACTTGGGAAAAGAACAGCTTAAAAGTCTTGAATTCCATTTCTCACTCTTTACTCTGATTCTCTAGTGATTATACAGATTCCCTCTTACTATCAAACTCCCCACCTACAAAATAGGGGTGAAGAGACTCTCGTCAGT